TGAATGAATGAAGAGGATAAATAAGTGTTGAAAAGCACAAAAAATTTGAGCGTTAAAGGAAGTGAAATGAAAAGAATTATAATGTAAAAGACTTTTTATTAACTACCGACGATAAATAATTTAAAACTCATGTATCCACGCATGGCATGAAACAACTCTGTTTTTGGCTTATAATTACGACCGAGAATGAAAATATCCGGACACAAAATTTTTATAATCCAATGCAATCTTCATTCGGACTAAGTTTTATTTTTCACAGAAATCCCACAAAACCAAAACCCAACATTATGACTTAAACCACATCACCCACTACACATGCAATGCATGTGCCTTGACTAGTAATAATTAAAAGTTGAAACTCTTAAAGCAATTTCCTACCACGCATAACTATTACTTTACTCAGGCAAGTTCATTTTAGCTAGTGTAATAATGAAATTTTCATTCTACAAATCAAAGACTATGACACCCATATTTTTATAAACCTTGAAGTATTTCCAAAAATTCAACTTTTTTTTTTTACGTTAAATACAGTAATGATAAAAATTTATTTCTCTAATAAGAAATATGGAATATCCATGAAATTAAATCAAACATAAAAATTTGTATCTAAAAAAAGGTAATCTTCTAACTAATTAATAATGTGTTTTGGAACAAATTAAACTAACTAATAAATTGAAACATAGAAAAACTTAATGTTTATTTTTTTCTTCAGTCCATGTGATAGCATGCATCATCATTCTGCCGCAAATCCATTTGACCTGAACTAACTTGTAAAATTATTGTAAGAGTGAGTATTTAAAAATACCAAGTAAGATACGTGTAGTTTTTATAGATAATTATGTGACAATAAAATAGACACTTCATACCACTTTTCTTGTGGAGTATAATAATGACCAAGTGAGACACTTATGAGTAGTATTTTGAATTTTCCAAGAATTTCACATTTCGTTAAGAAAAACCCAGTAGAGTTAACATTTTGAAGGACGAACCCGAACGTCCACTAACAATTCATGCATATTTAATTGAATACATAAAAGTATAAGGAAATGGACCACTTGCACATTATGTATCTTACCTTGATTTGATGAGAAGAACTTATGAAAAACAAAATTCAAAATCACTTTCCAAATCTTGTAATTTTCTTGGCATCCTTAAAAGTGTAAGGATTGAACCAGCAGGGACAGACCCCAGCACTCGACCAGGGGGCGCAGCCTCGCGTTCTGGGCTTCGCTCGACCGTCGGAGCAGTTGGGTCATGGGAGTTAACTTCGCCAGTGCGCCGGTTGCTGTTGCCTGCCTGGTTCGTCTTCTTCATCCAATCTCCTTCATTTTTATATGTTTTTTGAGATTGGGCCAATTTTGCCCAGCCCATAATCTTTTTTTTTTTGGGAAAATTTACAACTCAAGCTTTATCTATCTTAAAATCAAAAATCACGTCCCCAGGTTTAGAATTGCAAAAATCAGGT